AACTATATGAAAGACCACAACTTGAATACTGTCTAATTACATGCGGTCAATTGCATCAATTGGACGTCGTGCACGAAAAATATTCGGAGTTTTTTTTTACAAATCCTGCGAGTATGAACTGCTGTTATTGTGCAATGCGTTAAGATTAGAACCACTATGGTTACGATGAATAAAGCTGTAGCTGTGACTTCAGTTTATTGTCTTATTCCCAGCCTATGTTCCAAATGCAGTATGCAGGACACTGCGTGAAACAGTGAACAGATACTTGCATCTCAAAGACTCGGTCTTAACTCTGTTGAATGGTCTACACAATTAAGCATGGAGTAAGTTATCCGCACAAGTCAGGCCTTACAATGACACATGATGACCCAAAAGAAAATGTCCTGTGGTGTGTGTTCAAATGATGATAAGGTACAAATAAACGATTGTAATTGCATTATTACTTCCTTCCGCAGCCGTGATTTCCTCCCCCATGTTTAATTATACATGCCTAGATGGCTGACAGCATGTTTATGGGAACATGTTCGCGAAGAGAGTACTAAAAGTCGATAATCCGGATTCTCCCTTGTGTTAATGAGAGCGGCGACATACTGTACGATTAGTCAAAACATCCGTACTTCGGCAGATCAGACAAAAGCACTCTCGTCTTCTTTCTTTCTACTTACTTCATTCCTCTGATCTCAATTGTTGCTAAATGCAACGCATAGCTGAACAGCACGAACAACAAAATACACTGCATCGCTATCTAACCTCCATTTCCGTTAAGTTCAAATCGCCTTCAACCCGTGTTATAGTTTGATCTCTTCCGTCGAATTTAATTGCCTCAACATGCTACTTTCAGTCAAATCCACGCACGAGTATGTGCTATGTAGCATCATACCGTAATTGAGTCGTTTGTTTACTCTCACTGATAATCAAATCATTTTTATTCTTTAGTGAAAAGTTTGGTGCAATTTCAATACCTCGTAAACCAATTATTCTGTTGTTAATTTTTATCACTGCATCTTCAATGGATTGTCCTATGAGCACTAGAGAGCTACCGTCCCGCTCTGAGGTATTGAAAGCTTTAGAGAGAAATTACGGGGCGATATTCACTACTAACAAGCCACACTTCTCATCCAGTGTCAGCCAGATTGCTTGTGATGGGTCCCACGACATCCCAGTTAGTTTGCAAGTTCAGACGATCTGCCATCTTCCCCAATGGATCAGTAGCATAATCTGCTGGCTGGTTGGCGTAAGCTGATAGCCGCCAAGGGTTCAGTTCCGCTTGTAATTTATCTGTAAATTATTATACCAGGTATCAAGTTGCAAATTTCTGTAAAACCCGATTTGTGCCCTGTAGGTGCGGCCCCTAAAGATTTCGAGGAATATACACATAATAATAATAATAATAGATATGTCGGGAAAAGAGAGGGCGAACAACCAAGGCTAGTGAACGGGACAGAGAAGACAGTTGCGCGCTGAAAACACTAATAGGATGAAACACGGGTTCAATGTTAAGCACTTCATGAACGCAGTGATACGACATAAAGTACGTGTTAACAGTTCGATTATAATAATAATAATAATATAATTAGAATTAGAATCTAGAGGCAATTCATCACAACCCACACTAAGTCAGCAGGCTTTGCGATGTCTGGAAAAGCACCAGACAGCACTGTTTCGACCTTCTGGGCTTCGTCAGTGCTGCTCCTGCCTCAGACCCCGCCGGGTTCCGACCCTGACTCGGATTGGAGCAGCTTGTGCCATTAAGCCGTGGGTGATGACCGCAGACCTACATGATTGACAGTTGACTCTGACTGAGAATGGGGTGTGAGGAATTGCCTCTAAATAACACCAAAATCCACCCACTTATTAGTGATCCAGAAACCCGTCCGTATAGCTTCTAAGTACTGTATCGTAGACAATCGCTATGCGGAAATTCCTATCTCGTGAAGCCAACTGCTGTCCTCTGCACAGTTCGTAACTGGCATGGCAGTAAGTAACCGGGCGATATCATAGTCAACTGTCAATCATATAGTTCCGCGGCCGTCACCCATGGCTTAATGACACAAGCTGCTCAAAGCCGAAAGTAATGGGTTCGGAACCAAGCCGGGGTCTGAGAAAGGTGCACCACTGACGAGACCCAGCAGGTCGAAACAGTGATGTATGGTGCTTTTTCAGACGTTCCAAAGCCTGCTGAGTGAGAGTGGACTGCGATGAATGACTTCTGAATTATGCAAAAATCCCCACTACTCATCGGTAATAAAGTGTATATTTATCAGATGGGTGAAACACGGTGAAGTGAATCGCGCCCAATCATTATGTATAGTTTTCATAACAAAACTGTTATTGCAAATTGGTTGCTCATCAATTGCGAGTAGTTTTGTTTCAGTGCCTTCAGATAATTGGATATTTCCTATGAAAATGCACCGTTTTTGGCGATAATCATAGCATCATAAAGTCGAAGGAATTTCCTTCACTGAACGCAGTGTACTCAAGAAACATGGTTGGCGGCGGTTGGTATCCAAAGGTACAGCCACAGGACGCCTGTGCCTACAGAGGGACCATGGGTGGCTTGCGCTGCACCACCCACAGCTCCAACCACACACCCCATATCCAGTGTAAACCCGAAGGAATAAGACCGGGAGGTATGTGGATGGGAGCCACGTTTCATCAATGGAGCCGGTCCACACTCCTTCACAGGCAAACACAAGCACGCTGTATTTGGGAATCAAGCGCACACAAGGCGGTGGCTGGACCGTAGTCCGCTCCACACTGAGTGCATGGAACCGCTCTTTGAGCCTAGCACGACCACAAGGACCGTGCACCCCGTCCCCTCCAGCAATGACCAACTGTCTCCTGGAGCCAGTATGGACGAGGAAGCGGCTAATAGACAGGTAGGCACCTTGTCAACATGCACAGCAAGCGCAGCCACACCTTGAGGATATCAAGTAACAGTTAATCACTTAAAATAGCATTAACAAAAATATATATCTGTTAAAGCATATGGCTATGCAGACATAACTCTTTCCTAAATTAGCATTTGAAGTAAGTTGGTCATCAACAAATAAACGACAAGTACAAATTTTCCACAAGTTAATCAAAATATGCTACAAACTGTTAGGTCAGACCAAAGTCAAATGCGCGCAGAAACGAAACAAATTGACTTGTTCGGGAAGGTAAGTGCGCAATTTCCCCAAGTAACCGTGTGCCTTGTATCAGAACAGTCTCAGTTACAAACAGACTAGAGTTTTTCTGTGTGGCAGAACATTTGTCACAATCGCTTGTTTCATACCACTCACACGTCCCGTGATTCATTGAGATCGATAAATTCAAATTAGAAGGCAATAAAGTTAACGAAAATAAGCGAATTTAGCGTAAGCAAAGTGTGCAATCTACAGATTATTCAGGTAGGCAGAACAAACCAAGCAAAGTGGAATGAAATTCATCCAGCTTAAAAAGACCTAGTTTAAGCGTAAGAAACAAACATACACGCTCTACACGTACGCTCCCAGCATGCATAGCGTTCATGACTGAGGAAAGGAACCGAAATGTTGATGCATCGCCATATAAAAACAGCCTCGTTGGCTAACATCAAAGCTGCCTGCTGGTGGAGCAGACATGGTGTTTGACACTGAGCTCGCTGGCACCACATCGCATTCTCTAGTGGGCCCAGAACGTAGATCCGAACGCATGAATTTGTTCACACACGCCTGTAGACCTCCACTTCTCACAGCGACCATTGTGCTGAATTCCTGATTAATCGGTCGAAAGATGAAAATGAATACTCGCATGAGAAAACCAACTGAAGAGCTTAGTTAAGTTGGTGATGTGGTTCATTTGTATGGGAGCTTCGAGATTGGTCGCGTAGACGGATGACAACTTGATGGGGCATGTGCCAATTATGAGTCAGCCGTGCAGTTGCATTTGGACTTTTTCTCGAAACCCTTGCCTATTTGTATCATACACCTATTGGATTTTTAAGGGAGCCTATTGTAGCGAGATACAGCTAGACAAGCACCACATAGGTCGAAAATTGCAGGGAGACAATTTCGTCCTTTTGAGAATCGCAAGCAGTCTGCACCTACCACGAATCCTGTCAGATTAGAGCCTGTAAGTTTCCTCGTACGAATCGACATTTGGGCCATGGGTGAAGGTGACAGACGGTGATGAGTGAATATCAGCTGCGAAGTAGCGCAGCTCACTCTCCATTGTCATGCATGTTAATGCCGTGCAATCGATAGAGCCTTTCTTAAGACTGTCATTCGTGAAGATAGTACGAGGTTGTGGGAGTCGGATGGGGGCGGAAAGAACTGCGTGATACTAATAAATCCAAAAGGAACAAAATGGCCACCAGTGCTTTTGTGGATTTGCGGTGGTTACCTGATGCTAAAACGCCGCCGCCACCACGAAGTTGCACATCGTAGCCAATAGGTGTATGGTGCGCGATCTCAATAGCAGTTCAACGGAAGAATTTTCATCATGCAGCGTTAAGATCTTGTCAGCACCATTCATACGGTTGACAAGCGCGTTTAGTGTCCTCAAAGAAACAGAAACGAGTGACAAGCAAGGACCGAATCTGCACGAAGCAAAAGCGTCCAGTGAGAGCTCATAAGTTCGCGTGTACAGTACAACTACGAACGCTGACATGCATGCTGGCGTGCAAACCCACTAACTATCGGCGTAATAAGTGTTGGGAGAATGCCAGCCAATCGCCAAACAGTCGTAGCGCACATTGTCATGCCACGTCATATTATGGAACAGTGAATAAGCCGGTTGGTATTTCAAAGCGGAATACCCGTGGTGTCACCCTGTGAACGCGTGCGCTATGGGATAGTAGGCAGCTGCAGAGGCAAACAAATGCAGTAATGGGTGCCGTCAGTTAAGAGAGGAAAACCAAGTTGCCGGACAGATCCCGATAAACTTTTTCAAGGCAGCACGTATCGTTCTGATCACCTTGGTGATGAGCAGGATGAAGCTGACAGCGATCTGGATGATTAAGAAAATGTAGGTCTTACCTGCAACACTGTCTTCTCCCCGGACCAGACGTGCACCACTTCCCAAAGTACCCTGGCTGTTTGCTCCGGTTCCGGATTAGCGGACCACAAATTTCGACTCTGATAAATGATGCCATGGCGCTTGCATTCGAGCACGTAACCCGAATAAAAGTATCTGGCGGCATCGAGAACCGAATCGCCAGCTTTAGGAACCACAATATTCTTGATACCAAGTGCGTAACAGTCCTATGTGAATGTGGGAGAAAAGGTAGAGTGTATGAGAAAAATTACACCAAGCGTCACAGGAACAGCGACAGCAAGGTAAAAAGAATGATACGATAGTCGCACCAAACGGTGGTGCATTTGATGAGGCGTTTGGCTTGCAATCCACCAGCTACGAATAGTCGTTACGGGGTGCTGGCGTACTGCTGATACCCATTGAATGCAGTTTCTAGGCACGTAAAAAAAGGAGGACGGAACATACTGCATGGTGGACGTCCAAAAAAGTCCCACCGGAAACCAAGTATGATTGTTTCACATCAAAACGTAGGTTTAGTAAGTTAACTGTGGTCCAAGCACTGGGGTACTAGGGATCTAGGGCCATGACTTGCGTAGGAATAACAACAATCTAAAAACAATGGGGACAGATAAGGAAGAATATGCAAAAAATGCGAGATAAAAATCGAACAATAGCTGTAATCGTCGGTAAGAAGGAAGCGGTTATAATTGACATAATGTAAGGGCGCGAGTGAACTAAGCACTAAGCCAGAAGGGAAGTCTGTGACTGCCGAGGTAGCCAAGGCTGGGGCTATCATCAAGTAAGATGGGATGTAGAATTCAGACGAAGTGATCTGCTTGTAACGCAAAGCCTAGTCGTCATACGAGGCGCCGTTCAATAAGGCAGTTACATCGATGGCAAACGGCGGGTCCGAAAAGAACGCTAGGTGGGCTTGAACGTGTCGAATTCAACTAAGGATTCAGTGTGACACCAGGAGGCATGCGGCCAAACATCTGCCGGTGGACGAGTACGCTGACCACTCTGCGCTCCAACTAGTTATGAACGATGTGTAGCAAGTGCGACTGTTGGGATGCTAACTAATAAGGCAGATGAATATGACCTGACGCGAAGTCACCGGACGGAAAGCAATCAAGTGACACACAATTCCGCTGATGAGTTTACCAGATGACGATAATCGCATGGGTTGGAAAGATGAGGCGGAATTGGTTGGAATTATTGGGAATGAGGCATAGCGTCGTACTAAAAAAAGTAGTGGATTGACCGGAGCAGCGACGAACGGTAAAAAAGCATGGGATAGGGAAATTGAACAACGACGGCACAACGAGATGAATGTAAGTACCGTACTAAGGGCACCTTCGTTGATTAATGATGGATCTTTCGTCGGTGTCTAGACATTGTTCTGAGTGTCGGAGGACCACACGCCGGTTGTGCAAAGGATGGACCGGTTGGTTCATGGATTAAATACGCAACAGTCATGGTGCAAACAAGGGGAGTATTGGTCACATCAAATACCGAATACTGTATTATGGGAGCAAGTAAAATGCATATCTAGACAACCGCATCAAAATACGATCAAGAACGTCAAAAAAACTGTCGGTGTGTTGTCCTTTAGCAAGTTCTCATGTGATGCCAAGAAAACGTGCAACTCAGAGTAATTTGGGACTCACAAATGTGGGGAATTTAACGCTGGAGAAATGCACATCCAATACTGTTTTAAAATGCTGCATTGAGCTCGTGCCACTATATACTACAGCAAACTTCCAAACAGCGAGCACTCGCCATTCAAAGAACCGGAAACAGAGGACTTGTTTCAATTCTGGTACCATAAAATTATACCGGTGTCCGCGTGCGACAGATGGCGTTCGCACTTGAAGCAGTGGCCTCAGGATGGAGAAGTCACCCAGATGTAGAACGTGGTAGGCCATGAAGAGGTCGACTATCACTCCACGATATGACAGAGTGTATAGACCCAATCTTTCTCACCAAGTAAATTAGGAATGAACCTGGTAGCGACGTACTGGACCCGTTCGATTTTCTGTGCATCGCCTCGTGTGGCAGGGCAACAGGCGGGTGTCGTACTCTAGCATTGGTGTTAAGATGGAAAACAAGAGGGAAGTGGCAACCTCTCCAGGCCAGATACAGTAGCTACGTTTAAACGCCGAGAGCACGCACAGTCCGTTTCCGTATAGGTTGTTCGTATTCGCCAAGTGAGAGTACGCGTAGGTCCTTTAAGGAAGGTGTGAGATGTAGCAGTTGGTTGTCAAGAGTGAAGGTTTGACCGTCGACATTCTTACTGTTACACATGAATACCGACTTCGTTGTGTTGACAAGGAGACGGACTTCTGCAAACCACATGGAGAAGAGGTTGAGGTCTTAATGAAGTAGGCCGAAGTAGTCGGAAGTGCTACTAACTCTACACCTCATCGTTTGCAAACATGGCACAAGGCGACCGAAGAAGCTAGGGTAGATCGTCGAGACAGATCAGGAACACTGTAGGTCCATCACCACATATTTGGGTGTGCAACTGGTTGAAGGATATTAGTCGATTAAATGGCTATCGACATGTATCCTCCAGTTTCGTCCAATGAGAAACTTGCGGATCCACTGGTTTAGTAAGTCGCCAACACTGCACACTCTCAGCTTGAGAAGGAAGACTTCATGGTTCACCTTGTCGAACGCTTTATTGAAATCGATGTAGGTCACATTGATAGACTTCCTCTGAGTCACTGCTTGCAAGCACTTTTGCCTCGTTCGTAATGCATGTACGAACTGGCATGAAACCGTGTTGTGCGAGTGTCGAGAGATCTTTAGACCAGAATAGCTGTAGCTTTGAGGCTAGGTTTGACAAAATAAGTGTTAAATAAGTTGACCTGTAATCGCCTACTTAGTGGGGTCACCGCCAGTCGGAATCCGCCTTAGCACCGAGCATTTTCAATCAGTCGGCAACGAAGGTTGGAACAACGACCTGCTGAACAGGTCAGTCACCGCAGGTGAAATGATGGCCGAAGGGGACTAGAGAATAACTGGATGGAGTCCATCAGGCCCAACAAGGTTGATGCAGTAAAATTGGCGAGTGGTTGACACACCACTCAAGGCCACAACTCAGACTGTCAAATTCGGTACAGACAAATGATAATTTGCAAACAAGGAAGCAAAGTGCGCTGCCAACGCGCACGCACGCTTAGTACTGGGAATTAGAGGCTGTCCGTTCGAGCCCTCTATCATTGGTAGGTCGCCTGTCGGTTTCAGGCCTCGCTCCAAGTAAGCAAAAATGCTATTCCGGGCAGTCATCGCTGTGACTGCAAGCTGCTCCTCGAAATACCAGTAGTTGCTAGATTTGGCACTATGGTGAATATTTTGCTGCCTTTTACACACTCCGTAGTCGTTGACCGAGCGAATTTATCACATTTTTTGCCGAACCAATGTGGCTTGACTGGTCCGAGTTTTCGATACTCAAGGGACAAGAACCGGTTACACAAGGAATTTACTTCCGCCTTTGTAACCGTAGAGCAAGTTTAAACAGATACAGCTTGCGACAGAGACCAGCCCATCTGACTCGCGGCTCGAGTCGGACCGACGAAGTCGCTTTTTCGAGAATTGTAAGCTAGCTCATGTGCATGGGAACGCTACAGCGATAGCTCCATGTTGGCAATCACAAGTGAGTAGTCGCTTGCAGCCAGCGGCTACAGGATCGTAGTGTCGTACACATATTACTCACAAGATGTTAATAGCAAGTCTAGGCACGACGGAGTTGAGCGCGGTGTCACGCGGGTAGGTTGGCAGATATACAGTGCTTTCACATTTTCAAGTACCGTTTCAGCAAATTTTGCTTTGACCTCGTAATGTTCGGCCAAGAGAAATCGCTCGTGAGTAGAAAATGTGGGCGACTCATGTGGTTCCGGAGATGTGGCAGCATTTCCAAACAAGGGCTTATGGGACTGTGATAAAATGCATCCACGAACAGGACAATCTCCACAGCTGTTCATTAGGCCTTCGTCGCTTCGGTAGGCGCTCCCAAGTCTCCCACACAGAGTAGGCCGGATGAAGAGCAAGACGCCTACCGCAGGGTTGCAATGGCCTATCACAGTGGAAGCAAGAATGGCCAGTATGTTCAACTTTTTGTGTGAGTACTTCATCATTCAAGCAAGTCTCTGTGAGTCCCACTAGTTGTGGTCACACAAAAGCAACGAAGCGATACAGGTCATCATGCTTGGTAAGGGCTACATTCAGGCTGCGGCAAGAACTACCAGACTTGCCTGAAGAGCGAGAGACCAATTTATTCGAATTCGCGTTCGTGTTGTAACCACTCGAAAAGGTACAGTGCATGGGATTGTTTCTCGCTCACCAATATGATGCTTTAATGTGATAATGGCAAGCTTAAGAGGCTATCAGTCAGATGGATCTAGATCCGGATGAATATGCCTCCTCGCGCCTCGCAACCTACTCAGCTGAGACAATATTAGCTTAGGACTGGCCTCGTCAATAAAAGTTATCTGCATAGTTCCGTCATTCCCAACATTGCTACTACCGAGACGGATGACTTGCCTCACTGTCACACCGTCCTCACGCACATCGAGAAGTTTATCAACCAGACTGTAAAAGCTCAAGATCGTGAGTATAGAGTGCCTGAGGACCTAGATCGGTAGACTCGGGCACGTGAATAAGTAACAGAGTTTTTCACCTACTACCACTCGAAGCGGTTCCTGCAGGAGAAAAATGATCTTGAGCCTTTCTTGGCGTGGCTTATTGATCACCATCGGATAGCCACTATTCGTTTCGCGGTCACTTTCATCATTGAGTTTTCCATGGCTCCCAGCCACTATTGGGCATTCATTTGGGTCTTTAGAGTAGCAGAGAATAAAGTCAGTGGACCATAAGCCACACTTGGTGTCGTGGTTGAGAAAAAATTAGGCTAGTGAAGCAATGAGTTGTCAGAGGAAGTGGACGGAGGCTGGGTTGTACTTTGGATGTTATCCAGGAAAGTTTGCGTGAGCATGTTTCCAGAACTGCACAACGTTAAACGTTTTTGATCGCGATCTGCATCGACAAAAGCCATACGTACTGCTGGCTGTCGTCGACTGCGACAATCGCTTCACAAAATTTCGGATGCAATTATGCTGAATGGAACGTAAGAGGTGATAGAACTTGGTAGACAATCTAGCACATGAAATATGAGGGCTAGCGCAGCAACCAAAGCATGTAAGGACATTCGCCGTGCGTTCAATAACTTACGAAAGATAGATAGCGTAAAAGTGATGCAAAATGGTAAGGCAGAATTTAAAAAACGGAACCCCGAGATATGGGAATAGATACCACACAAAAGATGATCTAAACATTGCAGGATCAGATTTGAACTGAACGATGCTGAAGTTTACATGCAATAATTCCACATAGTTGGACTGCACCTCGAAACACCGAGGAATAAACATTTGATCGAATGGCCAAGGTTCACTTCAATGGGAATCGCGGTCCACTTTGAGATTGCGCGTCGCAATCCATCCACACAACGTGTACTTCAAATTGACTTTCCAATAACATTTATTTATTTAGAAATACGGTAAAAATCAATCCTGACGACACAGCGACGGTGTAAATCGGATGACGCTGATCGCAGTTTAGCTGTTAACTGGACGCGTTCACAATTATCCGAATAGCTATAAAACCACATGAACTTTAACGGACGCAAGGAAGCAGATATTTAAACACAGCGAGTTAATCCAGGAACCCAACAAAACAGGACAAGCACATCTCAATAAACTCCAGTAAGGTTGAGAACAAAACCAAAGAACTATGAAGAAAGAAGTCGCTTTACGAATACTGAATATATATATATATATATATATATATATATATATATATATATACACTTTTGCTCCATCATAGCTAGATTGAGCACGTGAGCGGAATCCCGTCAATGATTTCTGCGTGTTTGTAGCATATTACAGTTGTGCTATTCAGGTGCGATGGGTTCCCTGGGTCTGAAATCCGCAGAGTGGGTATCAAGAAACTATTTGAATGCTGACAACGATTTCGCCTCGATTATTTTCTCCGGCAAACTGTTCCCATATTTCGCCAATCATTGCTCGAAACATAGGGGGTGAGCTACACGTTTCAGACCCGGCACTACGAGCTTGTACCCGTAGTCGCTAGTACTGCTTGGTGCGCGCAAGTGTAGTAGTGGCCTCAGCATGAGGAAGTGCCCAGATACAAGATCTGGTGCGTCATAAGCAGGTCCACTAGAAACCGATGATAGGACAGGCAGTAGAGCCCAAGTCCTCTGCTTCGGTCGCCGTGCGACATACCCCGTAAATTTGGGATGAGCCCGCTGAACGCCTCCTAGTTTCTGCACCTCGCCACGGGTGATCGGACATTAGGCGGATGATGCGTACGCCAGCACCGGTCTCATGATGGAAGAGGCGAGTGGCAATCCCTTCAGACCAAATGTACAGGCGCCCAATGCATATGCAATCCGTTTCGGTGTAGCTTCTTCGTGCTAATCACGGATTACAAATCTCAGTGTCAGATTACGCTGAGATGCTTCACGGAAGATGTGGGATGTAGCAGTTGGCCGGCCAGAGTACACGAACGCCCATTACCACCCTTCCCCGGGCTCATACATAATGATTTGACTGGGTTGACCGGCAGATCGACCTCCGCAGACCACAGGGACAGGCGGCCGAGATCACGCTGAAGTACGTCGCAGTCCTCGGGAGCATCGACGACTCGTAAACTCTTCGGGTCGTCTGTAAACAAGGCACAAAGAGCCGAAAAAGCTGAGGTAGTTCGTTGATGTGGATCGAACAAAATGGGTCTCAGCACTGCACCTTGGGGTATCCTACTGATGAAGGGATACTAATCCTTTAGATGATCAGCCGTTGTAAAGTTTAAAAGAACGCTGACTCGTTGCGTCAGATGAATTATTCCCTCCCGATGGCTAAGTGCTCCTATTCCCACCTCTTTCCACCATCCGAACAAATAACACGCTTTTCGCG